CTTCCCGCTCAGTGCGCTCCACTGTTCCTCTCAGTTGATAAGCGGTCCTCAGACCACCTGTGCTCCCTGCAGCCTAGTAAAGCCCCTTCTCTCTCTATTTACTTATTTATTTATTTATTTATGAGACACTCTCACTCTGTTGCCCAGGCTGGAGTGCATTGGTGCAATCTTGGCTCACTGCAACCTCCATCTCCCAGGTTCAAGCGATTCTCCTGCCTCAGCCTTCTGAGTAGCTGGGACTAAAGGTGCTTGCCACCACACCTGGCTAGTTTTTGTATTTTTAGTAGAGATGGGGTTTTGCCATGTTCGTGAGGCTGGTCTTAAACTCCTGACTTCATGTGATCCGTCCGCCTTGGCCTCCCAAAGTTGCTGAGATTATAGATTTGAGCCATTGCTCCCGGCCGACCCCTTTCTCTTAAGCTCATTCAGGGATAAGTTGGCCACAGCTGCCCCTTCTGAGGTCAAGGTTGTCTCAGTTGAGAGCTGCTTGCCTGCAGAGAGAGATCACAGCCAGGAAGTGTGAGCCTCTGGGTTGAGACCTGCACAACCTCGGGTAGTTTTTATATAAAGAACAGGTTTTTCTTTTCTTCCCCTCACCCCATCATGAAAAGAGGCTTTGCAGAGTAAAGCAGAGGAGGCTGCGACATCTCATCCAGAACAAGCAGTAGGGCAAAATACTCTTAAAAAAAAAAAAAAAAAAGAGACCTGGAGGATCATTGTGCATTTCAGGAAGGGTAGGTGCTAAATCTTTTTTTTTGTTTTTTTTTTTTTTTGTTGAGACAGAGTCTCCCTGTGTCGCCCAGACTGGAGTGCAGTGGCCGGATCTCAGCTCACTGCAAGCTCCGCCTCCCGGGTTCACGCCATTCTCCTGCCTCAGCCTCCCGAGTAGCTGGGACTACAGGCGTCCGCCACCTCGCCCAGCTAGTTTTTGTATTTTTTAGTAGAGACGGGGTTTCACCGTGTTAGCCAGGATGGTCTCGATCTCCTGACCTTGTGATCCGCCCGTCTCGGCCTCCCAAAGTGCTGGGATTACAGGCTTGAGCCACCGCGCCCGGCCGGTGCTAAATCTTTGTTATTCAAGTGTGAAGGGAGTCAGCAGTATTAGCTCACCTGAGAGCTTATGAGAAACACAGAGTTGGCCGGGCGCGGTGGCTCATACCTGTAATCCCAGCACGTTGGGAGGCTGAGGTGGGTGGATCACAAGGTCAGGAGTTCAAGACCAGCCTGGCCAACATGGTGAAACCCTGTCTCTACTAAAAATACAAAAATTAGCTTGGCGTGGTGGTGTGTGCCTGTAATTCCAGCTATTCGGGAGGCTGAGGCAGGAGAATTGCTTGAACCTGGGAGGTGGAGGTTGCAGTGAGCCCAGATTGCGCCACTGAACTCCAGCCTGGGCAATGGAGCAAGACTGTCTCAGAAAAAAAAAAGAGAAACACAGAATTAGGCCCCATTTGCAGCCTCCTGAATCAGAATCTGCCTTTTGGGCTGGGCGCGGTGGCTCACGCCTATTATCCCAGCTCTTTGGGAGGCTGAGGCAGGAGGATCGCTTGAGCCCAGGAGTTCAAGAGCTGCTTGGGCAACCTCGTGAGACCCCGTCTTTATAAAAAATAAAAATAAATAAATTATCTGTGAGTGGTGCCCTATGCCTGTAGTCCCAGCTACTCGGAGGGCTGAGACAGGAGAGTGGATTGAGCCCAGGAGGTTGAGACTGCAGAGAGCTGTGATTGTGCCACTTACTCCAGCCTGGGTGATAGAGTTCCTGTCTCAGAAAAAACGCCAGCAAACAAATGGCTGCTTTTTAACAAGATCTCCAGGAGATCTGTGTGGACATCAAAGTTTGAGAAGAACTGCATTACAAAATTATCAGTAGGGAGATGAAAGAGATTTTTGTTTTCTTTGTATATTTTTTCCCGATTTGTTATTATTCTATTTTTTTCCCTACATGAATTGCTTTTACGATGAGAAAAAAATAACAAAGGCATTTCCAGTGCGGGGAACCCTGTCAAGTTTCCAGTTGATATTGCTCAAGGGCAGGTAGAGCTGTCGGGTCTCATACTTGGAAAAAGGAAGAAAGCAAGCCTGACTTTTCTATTCTGGTGTTAGGGAGGGAAGACCAGAATCCAAACCCTGGATTCTGGAACAAAGAGCGTGTGATTGATAGAGACAGGTGTCAAGAGGTGTCAGAGGACCTTGGCCAGATGGGTCTATAGCCATCCTGAGCAATGCCTTGAGATGCCTCATGGCTGGTGGGAATGGTGTCCAGGCTATTCTTGATCGAAACCTCTGCCAGCAAAAAATACTAATGGTATTTTTTTGAAGAGTCAGTTGTTTTACTGTGTGTCTGCTGACTGGTTTTATCACTAGGCCTGGAGGTAAGGCGGGATCCTTGGTATCGTGGTCCTAACACAGGCTTTAGAGGTCTTGAGTCAGGATTACTGTTTAACCAATTAGTATTAAAATTTCAACAGAGTCTAACCCCATTATCATGGCCCACATGATCCTATGTGACTGGTCTCTGCCTGCCTGTTTGATCTTTCCTTCCGTTTTTTTTTTTTTTTTTTTGCTTTTTGCTCAAACCACGGCAAACTTCCTTCTAGTCCTGGAAGACCAGAGCCAAGCTTGTCCTACCTCCGAGCCTCTCCCCTTGCTGCTTGCTCTGTCTGGAACGCTGGTCTGCCCTATCTTTCCATAGCTGCTCCTTCTCTTTTTTTTTTTTTGAGATGGAGTCTGGCTCTGTTGCCCAGGCTGGAGTGCAATGGCCGGATCTCAGCTCACTGCAAGCCCTGCCTCCCGGGTTCACGCCATTCTCCTGCTTCAGCCTCCCGAGTAGCTGGGACTACAGGCGCCCGCCACGTCGCCCGGCTATTTTTTTTTTTTTTTTGTATTTTTAGTAGAGACGGGGTTTCACTGTGTTAGCCAGGATGGTCTCGATCTCCTGACCTAGTGATCCGCCCGTCTCGGCCTCCCAAAGTGCTGGGATTACAGGCTTGAGCCACTGCGCCCGGCCTCCTTCTCTTTATAGAGGGCTCAGCTTACATGTCACCTGTGCAGAGAGGCCCTCGGGCTGCCTTGGCTAAAGCAGCCTTCTTGCTTCCTCCCTATCCCATCACTGTCTTTGTTTTTTCTTCTTAGTATGACTCTAACACTTTTTCGTTGATTAGTTTATTTTTATACTATTTTTTTTTGTTTGTTTTTGAGATAGGGTCTCACTCTGTCACCCAGGCCAGAGTAGTGGCACGATCTCAGCTCACTGCAACCTCTGCCTCCTGGGTTCAAGTGATCCTTCCACCTCTGCCTCGTGAACAGCTGGGACCACAGCTGTGTGCCACCATGCCCGGCTAAATTTTTTGTGTTTTTTGGTAGATACAGGGCTTCGTCATGTTGCCCAACCTGGTCTCAAACTCCTGATCTCAAGCAATCTGCCTGCCTCGGCCTCCCAAAGCGTTGGGATTACAGGTGTGAACCACTGTGCCCAGCCTTCTAGTAGGATTTTTAGCTCCATGAGAAGATGGCTCTTTTACACCATTTAACTTGTATGTCCTCAGCTCTTAAAATATTGCCTCACACACACTAGAAGTTAAATAAATCCTGGGTGGATCAACACACACAGTCAATTGACTTCTCCCAGCTTCAGCTTTCCCATCTGTGTTTGGGATCCTGGCTTGTAGGCTGGATGTGAAGATGAAGGGAGATATTGCATGCATAGTACTCAGCTTGGTTCCTGGCATGTAGGATGCGCCCAGCACATGGTGGTGGTTGTTATCAACCAGCTGGCCCTGGCTTGACCTGGAGGAATCACTGACCATCTCTGAGATAATGCCCTGCTGCTCTGCCCCGGTGCAGCCTACGTAGAGTTGCCCAGGACAGAAGCAGCCTGATGGCAATTCAACACCTGCAGTGTGGAGCATCTGTCCTTATAACCTGAATTCCAGTATCCTTTGAAGTCAGTGTGCTCTGTGACTGGTGCATCTTAGTCCGTGGCTTTGTATCTTGCTTGGAGTCACTGGGCCTCTTGTGGAGATCAGGTGTGGCTCTGACAACTGTCCGCCTGGTGTTTTCAAGTGCCCTTTCCCCAGACCTTCTTAAATGGAAGTTCACTGTATGTCATATGTGTCAGTTGGGAATGCTTTTGGCTGCAAGTAACAGCTCAATGTGCCGTGGTGTGGACAAATACCGTTATTTATTTTGTGAGAGTTAGCTAGTTTCTAGTCTTGGCTTACCAACTCAGTGATATCAGGGCTGGTGTCTTTGTGATTTTCTAGGTCTTTCTCTCAGGCTCATGACTTCATGGTGGCAAAATGCTACTCGGGCTCCACCCAACATGTCTATGATTGAGGCATGAAGGATGGAAGACAGAATGATGCCCTTCATAGCTCTTCTTTCTATCAGAAAGGAATGACTTTCCCAGAACTTTCCCAGTACACTTCTGCTATCTTCTCATTGGCCAGACCACTTAAGTTCAACCTCAGCTGCTGAGAAGAGGAGTAATCAGGTTTTACAGCTTGGATTGCTGAAGGCGGCATGGGAAAAGGATGTTGGAGATGATAGTGAGAACAGCCAGTGAGCAGTTCCCACTGTACTGGGAAACTTGTATTTTATTTCAGGCTGCTGGTTGACAACTGGGGGCAGTTTTGATTCCCAGGGGACATTGGCATTACATGGAAACATTTTGGTATGACTCAGGGGTTTGTGTGTGCTAATGCCACGTAGTGTGTAGAGGCCAGGGATGCTGCTAAACATCCTACAATGTCAGTAGTGCCAAGGGTTGAGAAACCTTTAGACCATTGTAGACATGTTGTTCAGATTTGGGGAAAATTAGTTTACCTGTTTTCCTTTGATGTAGTAACAGGCAATAGCCAAACTTCATTGTAATGATACGGATTATTGGTACCTAGTCGTGCTATTGATTTGGTTAAAGATCAGTAGTAAAGGACTGGTCTGGTTGAGGACAGCCATGTCCGAGTGTCAACAAGAACTAATTAAGCCTCATTGCATTTTAGGATCACAGAACAATGACAAAAGACAATTTCTGCTGGAGCGACTGCTGGATGCAGTGAAACAGGTAAGCAGAAAGCACACATTTGCCTTTTTGGTCGAGTAATAGTGTCAGATAATTAATGTAGGTCATTTCTTCCCTATAACATACACAGACTGACTCCCACTTTATACCTGGGAACAGTGAAGCGATCTAATCGTTTTCCCCAGGAAATGATAGAGCAGTGAACACAGTCAGAGTTGGGTTGGAGGAAGTCCTGTGTCTTGAATTTTGAAAGCCCTCTAGAGGACCCCCATCCTTCAGTGATGTCCCTTCAAGAAAGGCACTGAGCTGGGTGCGGTGGCTCACGCCTGTAATCCCAGCACCTTGGGAGGTCAAGGTGACTGCATCACTTGAGGTCAGGAGTTCCAAACTAACCTGGCCAACATGGTGAAACCCTGTCTCTACTAAAAATACAAAAATTAGCTGGATGTGGTGACAGGCACCTGTAATCCCAGCTACTTGGGAGGCTGAGGCAGGAGAATTGATTGAACCTAGGAGGTGGAGGTTGCAGTGAGCCGAGATTGCCCCACTGCACTCCACCCTGGGCAACAGAATGAGACTTTGTCTCAAAAAAAAAAAAAAAAAAAAAAAAAAAAAGGCATTGATGTGGGTTTCAAAGTCCCATTGTCTCATTTCCAAGCAGTTGTGTTTGAGGGCAGCTCTGAGGGGTGAAGAGGTGGTGGTTTGGAGTTAGGACCCCTGAGCACAAGAAGGCTAGGACAAGGAGGAAGGAGGCCACGCCTGGGGTCCTCTGCTGCTGCCCCCAGCTGTGTGGACACTCCAGGTGGCTTTGCTGTGATTGATGTGATGCTGTTTCTGATGCTTGACTCTGGCTGGGCTTGGAAGCAAGCTTGGATGTGAGACTGGAATCTGCTTGCTGCATGTACCAGATGCATGCTACTGTTAGCTGTCACTGATCACACCTCCACTGTGTGCCAGGCTCTCTGCTAAGCACTTTATATTTAATCCTTCCAACAACACTGTGAGATTATAGTTCCTGCAGTTGGTTTCATTTTACAGCTGAAGAGACTGAAACTCAGAGGGATCCAATAACTTGCTCAAGGCGTCATAGTTAGTAAGCGGCAGAGCTAGGATCCAAATCTGGGAATTCTAGGAGCTCACTTTTTGGAAGGGGCAGTTGACAGTTATAATTATGTGTGTAATCACACTGTAGGGAGGTAAGTACTGTAATAGGGTTGTGTGTGAAATTTTTTTTTTTTTTGTTTTTTAGAGATAAGGTCTTGCTGTTGTCTAGGCTGGAGCACAGTGGTCCCATCATAGTTCATTGTAACCTCAAACTCCTGGGCTCAAGCAGTCCTCCCACCTTGGCCTTCTGAGTGGCTGGGACTACAGGTGCATGCCACCACATGTGGCTGGGGTGTATGTTGAGTATTGAAGTGAGCCCAGAGAATGCAGTATCTATGTAAGCCTTGAGGCATTGTGTGGTAGGAGGGACACAGGCTTTCTGCTCCGACGTAGCTGGAATTAAAGGCCAGCTTTACTTCTTCAGCTCTCTGTGTACAGGGACAGCTCACGCACCCTCCCTGAGCATCTCTCTGCTCTTCTGTAACTGGGTCACTTAATCTGTGTATGGCTTCTGAGGGAATTGGCTTGTTAAAGTAGGTAAAGGGCCTGGACAGAGCCTGGTCCTCTGTTAACATGGTAACATCTGGAGCCCATGTTGTTAGCTTGCTCTTTCTTTGCTGCAGAAATGGAAAATATAATAAGATGAGGAGGCAAGATGAACCACTTTAAAGGTAGCAGTTAGAGAGAAATAAAGTGGAGCTTATGCACAGAGCTTCTGCTGCTTTTTTTTTTTTTTGGATGGAGTCTAGCTCTGTCGCCCGGGCTGGAGTGCAGTGGCGCAATCTCAGCTCACTGCAACTTCTGTCTCCTGGGCTCAAGTGATTCTCCTGCCTCAAACTCCTGAGTAGCTGGGACTACAGGTGCATGCCACCACACCTGGCTGACTTTTGTATTTTTTAGTGGAGGTGGGGTTTCACCATGTTGGCCAGGCTGATCTCGAACTCCTGACCTCGGGTGATCAGCCCACCTCGGCCTCCCTAACTGCTGGGATTACAGATGTGAGCCACTGCGCCTAGCCTGCTGTTATTATCATTATTATTATTATTATTGTTGTTGTTATTTTGAGGGTTAAAGTGTTGCATATGACTTTTTTGCATGACTTTCAAAAATATATTTTATTGATGTATAATTTACATATAACATAGCATTTTAAGTGTATAGTTTCATGTGTTTTGACAAATATATCATTTAAAATTATATATATACACACACATATACACATACACATACACACACACACACACACACATATACAATGTAGTAGTATTGATGATAAGTTTAGGAACCCTGCAAGCCAGCTACCCATAGCAGAGATTCTATACCTTCAAAAGAAAAAGACAGTAGTAGGCCAGGCATGGTGGCTTACACCTGTAATCCCAGTGCTTTGGGAAGTTGGGGCAGGAGGATGTCTTGAGGCCAGGAGTATGAGGGCAGCCTGGGCAACATAGTGAGAACCCTGTCTCTACAAAAAATAAAAAATATGAGTTGGACCTGGTGGCACGTGCCTGTAATCCCAGCTACTTGGGAGGCTGAGGTGGGAGAATTGCTTGAGCCCAGGTATTCGAGGTTACCATGAGCTATGATGGCACCACTACCCTTCAGCCTGGTGACAGAGCGAGACCCCATTTTTTTTTTTTTTGTTAAGAAAATTAGAATAGTGGATAATGGTGATGGTTGCTCAACATTGTGAATTGAAATTTACACCTAAAGATGGTTAAAATGGCAAAGTTTATGTTATCTATATTTTAATTTTACCAATTCAAAAAGTAGCCTGCAGGGCCAGGTACCGTGGCTCACGCCTGTAATCCCAGCACTTTGGGAGGCCAAGGTGGGCGATCACCTGAGGTCAGGAGTTCAAGACCAGCCTGACCAACATGGAGAAACCCCATCTCTACTAAAAATACAAAAATTAGCCGGGCATAGTGGCACATGCCTGTATCCCAGCTACTTGGGAGTCTGAGGCAGGAGAATCACTTGAACCCGGGAGGGAGAGGTTGCCGTGAGCTGAGATCGATCCATTACACTCCAGCCTGGGCAACAAGAGTGAAACTCTGTCTCAAAAAATAAAAAAAATAAAAAAGAAGTAGCCTGCTTTCATTTTTACCCACCCTCAGTAAATTGTCATTCCATACAACCCAATGACTCGTATGAGGCTTGATTTGTGCTGCTGTAATGTCATAGCCAGTCACGACAACTCTGGGGCTCGTCCAAAGGGGCCCATTCAGCGCAGGTTTGTGGAAGTTGTAATTATCTCCCGCGAAGAGCTCTGTGTGGTAGACAGTCAGCTGCCGACAGGCAGGAGCGGCTGCCTGGATAATGCACAGATGGCCGTGTGCTTTTGTTTTTCTGTTAGCAGTGTTTTCCCACAAGGCTTGCTTTTGTACAAGTGGGAGATAAGGGTTTCCTTTAAGTGGCAGCTTCAAGGCTGAGGTGTGCACCTTCTTAAGTCTTGTGCTGATACCCAGGGGACAGGGACGTCCTCACTTGACGTGCAGAGCTTCTGGTCCCGTGTCCCCTCCCTGACCCTTAAGCCCTACGTGGGCTGTTGTGTGACGTTTTGAGTGTCGCATCCCAGCGGCTGATCTCAGCAGCTTCTTTTTCTGTGCAGTGCCAGATCCGCTTTGGAGGGAGAAAGGAGATCGCCTCGGATTCCGACAGCAGGTAAATATGTCGCCTCTAAAACCATTGACCATCGAGCTTGAAAAGGCGGCAGAAGGCGGCCGGCTTCTGTGCTCTGCCTCTGCAGCCAAGAGGTGCAGCGCTGAAATTTGAGTCAACCGTGGACTCTCTGTGCGGTGACTGCTCATCTCCCACACTCCACGTTTTCCATAATTCTCTTTCTAGGAATCTATTCGGAGGGAATTATTCGAGATACCTTTCCATATAAAATTATTTTCAGGGTAATTAATAATTATGAGAACTTGGATGCCTAAATACCCAGTAATTGGGAAATGGTTAACAAAATATAGTGCGTTAATAGGGTGGAATGTTATATAGCCATTAAGAGTAATGTTTATATGGAATTTGTTTTCAATGGAAAAATGCATGGGTAATAATTTAGAAATTACATAGATAGTAAAAAGGCATATGTTGTAAAAAGAGCAGGATCCGAAATTCTATGCATATGGAGTGGTCCTAGCTATGTTAGATAGCAACTCTGGCCAGAACACACTGAAATGTGGCCTAAGGTAGCAGTAGGGGTAAGAATACTGGGAATATTGCTTTCTGGTATTTTTTGCGTTTTTTATTGTGATCATGTGTTCCTTTTATGATAAAAAATAATTCCTAAAAATGGGCCAGGTGCGGTGGCTCATGCCTATAATCCCAGCATTTTGCGAGGCCGAGTCAGGTGGATCACTTGAGGTCAGGAGTTCGAGACCAGGCTGGCCAACATGGTGAACTCTCGTCTCTACTAAAAATACAAAAATTAGCTGAGTGTGGTGGTGCACGCCTGTAGTCCCAGAGACTTGGGAGGCTGAGGCAGGACAATCGCTTGAACCCAGGCTAATTTTGGGGAAAATTAAGGATTTAGGAGGTGGAGGTTGCAGTGAGCTGAGATCGCGCCACTACACTCCAGCCTGGGTGACAGAGTGACACAGGGTGAGCGTCTGTCTCAAAAAATAAAATTTGGCTGGGTGCAGTGGCTCATGCCTGTAATCCCAACACTTTGGGAGGTCGAGGCAGGTGGATCACGAGGTCAGGAGTTCGAGACCAGCCTGGCCAAGATGGTGAAACCCCTTGAGGCTTGATTTGTGCTGCTAAAAATACCAAAAATTAGCCGGGCTTGGTGGCGGGTGCCTATAATCCCAGCTACTCGGGAGGCTGAGGCAGGAGAATTGCCTAAACCCAGGAGGCAGAGGTTGCAGTGAGCCGAGATTGTGCCACTGTACTCTAGCCTGGGTGACAAAGCAAGACTCTATCTCAAAAAAAAAAAAAAAAAAAAAAAATTTCCTAAAAATGGCTATTGACATTCATGACCCAGGAAAGGCTGACATCATGGCATAAGCTGATAACATTGGCTGGAAGGAGACCCATAGGCCATATAGGGCTTGGCAAAGGTAGGAGACTCACAAGCATCCAGTCCTTGCTGCAAATGCGTTGTGAGCTCAGTCAGAGCTAATTTGTGCTCTGCAGCCCCTGAGGTGGCAGGAGGGAGATTCCTGCATGGGAAGGAAAGGGAAGGGAACTTGCTTGCTCAACGTTCATCTCATCCTGGAAACTGTTCATGTCCCCCACACTCTCACCGTAGCCCACCCTCCCGTGTCCATCATTCCTTTTTCTGTCCTTTCCTACTGTAAACTTTTAACAGCCATGAGCAAAGCATGTAGACCTTCCTGGAATAGAGCCATGTGGATGATTCGAAACTGGCACAGATTTAAAGTGATGCACCCTATTATCTGTGCCTTCTCTGCTTATGTTTTCTCCATTGCACGTATCACCATCCAACTAACTATATATACATTTGGCTTTTTAATTTTGCCTATTATCCTGTCACTATAATGTCGGCTCTGTGCAGGCAGGTATGTTTTGCTGTCTTGTTTACAGATGTTTTCTAGTGCCTAGAAGCATTCAGTAAAGATTTGTTAGCCAGATGAGTGTGTGTATTACATTGTACTGTAGTCAGGTGTTCAAATATCTGTGCCACCACGAAGCTTGTGAGATTGGAAGGCAGAAAGGGTGTTTCTCCATTTATTTTTAAAAATTTTACTTGTCAGTGTTTTACACAAGCACTTTGTGCCTGTCGTACATTAGATTCTCAGTATATGTTCGTGGCATTAGATCATTAGACTCAATGGTCAATTTAGTCCTTCCTGAGGGCCTACTATGGGGCCTGGCCTTGGCCAGGGATCCAAGGTCCGCTTGCATCAGAATCACCTGGGAGGCTTATTGATTAATGATGCAGTGTCTAAGTCCTGTCCTAGTTGTATTGGAGCAGGATGTGTATATGTGCATGAGTGTGTGTGTGAATGACTGAAGCCGAGGAGCTTGCTGAGAATTTGCATTTCAACAGGATCTCCAGGTGATTCTGCTGGACAGCAAAGCTTCCAGTGCAATCACTGTTCCAGGGCCTGGGATGCAGAGGTAATTAGGAAAGACCCCTCTTTCCTGACCCGGTTGGTTTGTCTGTGTTTATGTGTGTGTATGGGTGTGTGTGGTGTGTGTGTGTCTAAGTATCCATGACTTCTTGACCACTTTTCTTCATTACCGTGCTGTCCGCTTCCTGAGAGAGGCAGTCCTGCTTGGAATGTTAGGTTAACGTGTTCTTACACAGGTGGAGTATCCCTCATCCAAAAACCCACAATTCAAAATGCTCCAAAATCTAAAACTTTTTGAGTACCAACATGATGCTCAAAGGAAATGCTAATGGAAGCCAGTTGGATTTTGGATTTTTGGATTAGGCTCACCTAACTGGTAAGTATATAATGCAAATATTCCACAGTCTGGAAAAACCTGAAATCCGAAACATTTCTGATCCTAAGCATTTTGGATAAAGAATACTGAATCTATATAATAGAATTTGGTACCATAACCTTTGTTACAGAAAATGTTATGTTTTGTAGTAGAATTGAAAAAGTTAATTCCTTCTGTGATAACTGTCGTTTGTGGCTAAAAGGAGTATGCTGCTTACTATTACTAATAATAGGCCAGGCACTGTGGCTCATGTCTGTAATCTCATTGCTTTGGGAGGCTGAGGTAGGAGGATTGCTTGAGGCCAGGAGTTCAAGGCTGCGGTGAGCTATGATCGTGCCATTGCATTCCAGCCTGGACAATAGACAGAGACCCTGTCTCTAAAAATAATAATAATAATAGCCAGGCATGGTGGCTCATGCCTGTAATCTCAGCACTTTGGGAGGCCAAGGCGGGAGGATCACCTGAGGTCAGGAGTTCGAGACCAGCCTGACCAACGTGGAGAAACCCTGTCTCTACTTAAAATACAAAATTAGCCAGGCATGCTGGCACATGCCTGTAATCCCAGCTAGGCAGGGAGGCTGAGGCACGAGAAGCGCTTCAACCTGGGAGGTGGAGGTTTCGGTGAGCTGCAATTGCTCCAGTCTGGGCAACAAGAGCGATACTCCATCTCAAAAAAAAAAAAAAAAAGTAATAATAATAGTTATAGTTTGTGACTGCCTTTGCTACATTTTATTTATGTTGATTCTTAGTCCTCAGAAGGAGCAGAGGTATTATCCTTTCTTTTTTTCTTTTTTTTTTTTGAGGCAGGGTCTTCCTCTGTCACTCAGCCTGGAGTGCAGTAGTATGTTCATGGTTCATAGCAGCCTCAACCTCCCAGGCTCAAGATCTTCCCACCTCAGCCTCCTGAGTAGCTGGGACTACAGATGCAAGCCACCATACTTGGCTACTTTTTGTATTTTTTGTAGAGATGGGGTCTCACTATGTTGCCCAGGCTGGTCTTGAACTCGTGGACTCAAGTGATCCTCCCACCTTGGCCTCCCAAAATGTTGGGATTACAGGTATGAGCCATACTGTGCCTGGGTTATCCCTTTTTCACTGATGAGAAAACTGATTCAGAGAGGCAAAATGCCATAGCCTAGGTTAGACATTTTGAAAGGGCTAGAGTTCCATGATTTGTTCTTTCTCTGTTATGTGCTATTTAGTGACTAAATTGTTTTTGAGGCTGGGTTTAAAAAAAAAATTATTCTCCTCTACCCCAGGTGGATTACTTCTTAATATCAGAGACCTGGTCTTACCTAGGAAATGTACTTGGGTAAAGGTGGCACCACCTTCATGTTGGAAAGGCCACACCATTGTCCCTATTCTGTGAGAAAGTTGAATCTCGGCTGGACGCGGCAGCTCACGCCTATAATCCTAGCCTTTTGGGAGGCTGAGGCAGGTGAATCCCTTGAGGTCAGGAGTTCAAGACCAGCCTGGCCAACATGGCAAAACCCCGTCTGTACTAAAAAAATTAGTCAGACGTGGTGGTGCCCGCCTGTAATCCCAGCTACTCGGGAGGCTGAGACAGGAGAATCGCTTGAACCCGGAAGGCAGAGGTTGCAGTGAGCCGAGATTGCACCATTGCAATCCAGCCTGGGTGAGAGAGTGAGACTCCGTCTCAAAAAAATAATTAAAAAAAAAGAAGAAAGTTGAATCTCAAGAGGGAAAGTCAGCGAACATTTAAAAATAACTTAGGAGGACTGACAAGATAGATGAGTTGCCTCCCTTCCTCACCGCTGGTAGCTGACCCGACCCTGGAGTTGAGGTCAAATCCACTTACTTCCCTCCAGCTCCTCTGCTGGCCTGCGGTCCCCATTACCAGCATCTCACAGGATGGCCGCTGCAGCTCTGGGCTCTCCCCATTTGTTCTTCTCCTGCTTCTACCACATCGAATGCAGAATGCAGATTCCCTCACCTCATGCTCCCTTGAAACCTCCCAGCTGCCTTCTCTTTGCTCTTGGGAGAAAGACCCACATCCTTAACACAGCCTGGAGGCCTCACATGCTTTCCCCTGCTCTCTGATCCAGCCATCTGCCCTTTTTCTCCTTTTGTTTTTAAAGCTTTTAACTACTTTTTCTTTCTTTTTTTTTCTTTGAGATGGAGTCTCTCTCTGTCACCCAGACTGGAGTGCAGTGGCGTGATCTCGGCTCACTGCAAGCTCTGCCTCCCTGGTTCACGCCATTCTCCTGCCTCAGCCTCCCGAGTAGCTG